CAAGGGAAGAGAGAATTCTGGGAAGATGGCTGAGTAGAAAACACCAGGAACCCCACCTAGACTATAGTTGCACTGGCAGAATCTGATACAACTATTTTGAAACTCTGGAGTCTATTGAAAACTTGCAACTTCCAGGGGAAAACATGGACCATAAATTGTGGTTAATCTCAGTCAATTTCAGCTCTTAGCACAGTAGTAGCTACCCATCCCCGACTACCAGCCATGTGTCAGGGAGCTCTGCATGTGTTGCTGGAGTGGCTTGGACACAGATTATGGGAGCCAGGATGGACAATAAGAACCCTGTCCTCCAGATATTGGGGATCTGTGCCCTGATTACTGATTGCTGCTTATAATCATAGACTTGCAGACAAAAGGTGGGTATGCATTGTTGCAGCTCCCTCCAATGTTGCAAGCCCCTCTCTCTCTGGCTAAAGTGACTTTGAGGGGATTTAAAGCACCAGCACCCTTTTTCCTCCCTTCAATTTTTCTCTTTTTCCCTTTTTGGGAGCCAGATACTAAAGACTAGGACATTCAAAAACAACTGCATATATGAGGAAAATGCATGCATTTTGGCCATGCATGCCCAGGGAAAGGCTCAGAACATACCTGATACATACCTTAAGTTTACACCTCAGGCTAATCTTTGGCATAAGACAGCCTCCAAAAGAAAAAAAAAAAATCCCACACAATAAACAAAAATAATAAATATCAAACCTGGGGAAAGGGAATAATCTGATTTCCAGAGTTAGCATGTTATTAGATTAAAATGTCCAGTTTTCAACAAAAGATTACAAGGCATACAAAGAAACAGGAAAGTATGACCCACTTAAAGGAAAACAAATAAAATAATAGAAACTGTCCCTGGGCCTGGCCCCATGGCTTAGCAGTTAAGTGCGCACGCTCCGCTCCTGGCAGCCTAGGTTTGGATCCAGGGCATGCACTGATGCACTGCTTGTCTGGCCACGCTGAGGCAACATCCCACATACAGCAACTAAGAAGGATGTGCACCTATGACATACAACTATCTACTGGGGCTTTGGGGAGAAAAAGGGGAAAAAAAAAAGGAAGAGGATTGGCAATAGATGTTAGCTCAAGGCTGGTCTTCCTCAGCAAAAAGAAGAGGTTTGGCATGGATGTTAGCTCAGGGCTGATCTTCCTCAAAAAAAAAAAAAAAAACTCTAAAAAATAAAAAAAAGAAAGAAACTGTCCCTGAAAAAGACCTGATGGCAGATATACTAGACAAAGACTTGAAAACAAGTGTCTTAAAGATGCTCAAAGAACTAAAGAAAGATGTGGAAAAAGTTAAGATAGTGACAAATGAGCAAAATGGAAATATCAATAAAGAGATAGAGACCCTAAAAAGAAACCACAAAGAAATTATGGACCTTAAAAGTATAACTGAAATGAAAAAATCACTAGAGAGATTCAAAGAAAGATTTGAGCAAGCAGAAGAAAAATCAGTGAACTTGAAGATGGGACAGTGGGAATTATGGAGTCTGAGGAGTAGAAAGAAAAAAGATTGAAGAAGAGTGAACAGAGCCTAAGAGACCTGTGGCATACAGCAAGCAGACCAACATGTGCATCATGAGAGTCCCAGATGGATGAGAGAGAGAAAGGGGCTGAGAGAACATGTGAAGAAATAATGGCAGAAAACTTCCCAAATTTGATGAAAGACATGAATATAAACATCCAAGAAGCTCAATGAACTCCAAGCGAGATGAACTCAAAGAGACCCACACCCAGACACGTTATAATCAAACTTTCAAAGACAAAGAAAAGCTTGAAAGCAGCAAGAGAGAAACAAATCATCACATACAAGAGATTCTCAATAAGAGTAGATTTCTTTTTTTTTTTTTTT